TTGCTCGTAATCTCCAAAACATGAAGCCGAAACTGAAGTATTTAAGCGACACGTGCTAAGCAAATTAATATGACAACTGCTGTTGCTGCCATAGAAGGTACCACAGAAGCAGCCCAAGCTCGCTGCGGCAAGTGAATGACATTGTCTGGCACAAGTGGAAATGTTGACAGCAAAAATTTAACGCTTAAAATGCCAAACACACAAATATTTTGACATTCAGAGCACAGAGAGAGTCGCACACACACACACGCACAAACGCTTACATGCACAGCAAAGCAACAAACACAAAACATGTGCGCTTGTTGTTCTATTTTTTGGCTGCTTTTCTTTTTGTGTGGCAAATTTTCCATGAAAATTGCATGAATTGCAGATTTTTATACGCACGAAATGCGCTGCGCTTGGCGTGCGACTGGAGTCAACTCGAGTTGAGTTGTTCTCGTTGTTGTTGCTGCTTTTGTTGCTGTTATTGTTGTTGTTGTTGCGTGTGCTTTAGTCATTTTTATGGCAGCACTTGGCGTAAAACATAGAACAAAACAACAACAGAAACAAAAGTGCCTTACATTGTTATAGAATTTGGCTTTAACAGGCGCTTACAGCGACCCAAACAATGACTTAATATACTGCATCTGCGATAAGTGCACACATGTGTGTGTGTGTGTATGTGTGTGTGCGTGTCTGTGTGTGCAATGTGGCGCATGCAGTCAACAGCCGTCGCCGTAACAGAAACAGCTCAATTATGTGTAGTTGTCGAGCACGGGGCGTATGATTAATGCACTATATATTCAAATGGCAGCCGAAAAGTATGCAACACTAATAGATGGCAACAATCTGACACTTGTGGCACATATATGCGGCAAATGCGAAAATTGTTGCAGCCACACAATTGAAATTGCATAGCTAATGCAATAGCTTGGGAATGGGCCCAGACACAAATTGCTTTGGCGAACTTAGACCCCAAACGTAATTCCACACATGCAGCAACTGTGTTAACTCAAAGATTTCCGAGTCGTAACCAATTTGTTAGCAGTCAACGAAAACTTTTACAATCAACTTTGCGCAAGAAGTTTCGCAAGATTTGTTTTAAATAAGATAAGAGATGTACAAGCTCCGAGCTGTCCAATTCAATTAGGTTAATAAAAGTCTTAAGAACAGGCCTGATAAGAAAAACAAACAAAGAACTGAGGCAGCTCTTGGAAAGCTAATTGAGCCTGTTTTAAAGATAGTTTGTGTTAAGCTTTCTAATTTTAATAAAATCTAATACTTTTGCATATACAAAAAACAAATGTTAAAGAAATAAAAAACTAATCCAAATTAAATAATAAACAAAAATTATTTACTCTATTTTCATTATATTTAACAAAATACTTATTAAAATATCAGCAAAGGAGTTTAAATTTCAGCCATGCGATGCACAACAGTGGTTTGTTCTAGCACGCTTCCCTGAAATAGCACCCGAAGGAGCCATTTATTATGTCAAGTGCCATAAAGAAAACTAAACAAATTCAGCGTAGATCTGAATTAAAAACATCAATTCTTAATGTTCCTCAAGTGCATAAATCAAGAATGACAACAAGCTGCCTGCCAAACGCCACCTGCCCACTGTTAACTGGCAACGCGGCGTATGCGCAACGTGCCTGCCTCTGACCGGAAAACCTTTGGCCATCTGTTTTGGCTGTTTCTCTGTGGCATTTGTGTCTTTTGATTTTAATGTCCAGCCTATGCCAAATGCTATAAAATTTAATGTACTGCCGAAAATAAACAAAACGAATGAAAACAAAAACAATTGCGTGACGAAGGACAACTGAATTGTGGCGGCAGGCTGTGACTTCACCTTTTGGATTTTCGCTTGGCAAACATTCAGCATTCAGTGGCAGGCAGCTAAGTAGTTGTCATTGCGATTTGCTTAGCCAAGATTTATGCCCGAGTGGCGCTTGATAAATGACTGAACGAATTACAAAGTGGCTTTTACTTGCAGTCAAGCAGCGCTCTCTGCGTTTTCTTGGCCATAAATTCACAGTTGGCTGAATGTCTAAATTAGCATTGAGTTAATTGTTGATATTTTGAGTTTAGTTTTGGCTTAAATATGCAATTGCAAATTACGGCTTTTGCGGCAATAAAGCAGCTAACTTAATTAGTTGGATCTGCAGTCAAAACAAATAACCCTTAACAATAAGTGTAAATAATTGGACTTTAAGATATCTGTTTGCTTGAAGACAGTTAGCATATTTGTAGGTAAATAATTAAATATTTAACATTCAATTTGAATTAAGATTTCAACTCCTGAGCTATTTTAACCTGCACTTTACTCATGTTTTTGCTTGTATTAAGACATATGTAAATAAATTCAATTAACAATATTTTAGGTTGTATTTTAAGTGTACTTATGCGAGCATTCAACTTAATTTTGTCAATATTGATTTAAGTTTTGACTTATTTTTTCATTTTTCCGCACCTATAGTAACAAATTCTTTACAAGCATTTTATTTAGCTCATTATATTGTATTTTCTTTACTTTTTTATACAGGCACAGACAAACTCAAAAGAGCTATAAGATTTCCCCAATGTTCTTATTTGTGTACAGGTGTGCACGACAATTGGTATATCCATTTGTGAATTTAGCCAATAGTAATAAGCATGAGTGCTCGGATGTGGCCGACTAGATCATACCCTAAGCCCAGACCTGAGCTGCTGTTACACGCATCCTAGCTTGCATATGGGATAGAAATGAAGTATGGCTTATTAAATTTGTATTTCCATCTCTACCATCCAGATCGATTTTATATCAAGAATTTATATAACCTTTTGAGTCAGAGATACTTTCCTGCTGCCTCTACCATACATGTCCACAAAACCATAATACCCAATTAACCCATGGGTATAAGAACAACATACATCCAGCATAAAAGCTGCAAATGCGTAAATGCAATTTGGATGCAAAATGTGGCTGAACTCAACAATGCACAAAAAGTAAGTGTGTATGTGAGTGTGTGTTAGTGTGCGAAAGGACTGAAATTTTAATTGGATGCAAATTGGCAACACCTACTAACACTCATTTATGGCTGCGGTTCGGCTACTCTGAACTGAAAACTCTTTTGTTTTTAACACAATTTACAATTTTTGGGCCATTAACACGAAAATGACCGCAACAGAAATTATTTCGAAAGAGCAACGTTGCGTTATGCATTGATTACACGTGAAACAATTTCATTTAAAAAGTACATTTATATATGTACTATAAATATATAAATAATTCAATGATTGAGGAGCGCACTAAATTGCATTTATCGCGCCCGCATTAATAAATTATTGCATTGGCAAAAACATTTAATTTGCATTCAATTTTTCTCTCCCTCACTTTTAATTAAATGCTGTAATAGTACAAATACTTTAGTTACCATTATTATATTTTTTCTCATCATGAGTGCTTTTAGCCCATTTAATGTGTAATTAATTTTTTAATATTATTGAAGGGTTAATCTGCGCGTTTTGTTTGCCTTTTTTATCGCATGTTTTTATTCGACTTATTTGTGAAAAAGTGTTGCACATAAATAACAAGGGCGCAGTTAATGCCCAAAGGTTTACCAATCAAATGGGACAATTTACATATGTAGTTGAGTTAATTGATAAGTTAATTAGCCATGGCTAACGGGCAACAAAAATTAATTCTTTTGTCCTTTTTTTGACTTTAATTGTAAAATTCATTATTTAATTGAATTTTGATTTTCTATGTATTTCCATAGAAGCTTTTTGTGGTATTTCTAATCGCAAATAGTCCAATCTAATGTCTAGACAGAAATCGAAATCTTTTAACGATAATATAATCTTTTTCTTTGTAAAAACTATCAAGATAATTTAATTTGAAAGTCTCGACAAATATTTTTGTTGACATTGGCAAGGGTTGCTTCAGAGAGCATAGTTTATTTAGGCTGATCGAAACGTGAATACCCTTTGAGGCATGTCTTAAAATTGTTTTTTGCCCTTGTAGAGGGTATTATAATTTTGACATCTCCGACCCCGTTAAGTATATATTTTCTATATCAGTATCAAAAACCGAGTTGATATAGTCATGTCCGCCTGTCCGTCTTTCCCTCTGATTATATGCGAACTTTTCTCTCAGATTTAAAGTTATCTTTCTGTTGTAGGCAATACATATGTCGAAGCCTGTCATAGGAGCGATCGGTCCAAAAGTAGGTTCTTATCTAAACAAGTTTTTGTGTTTATCAAGATATTAAGGGTGTCACTATGGTATCCATCAAAATCTAATAACCATCATATAGCTGGCATTGGAAGGATTCGTCGGATAACTTGGGATCTATTATTTCCATTATGATCATCATAAATATGCAAAATAGCTATTTGCATTTACATTGTTTGTTTTTTTTTTTTGTTTTTTTGCCTAATATGATTTATGGAAAACAATTAATATTTTAATTCTAATAGATTTGCTAGGCGTCTTCTAAAGACACCCAGAATCGGAGTCTGAATACGGAAGAGATTGCATAGGTATGTTTCTATCGATCTCTCAGATAGGGTAATATATCAATCTATTAATGTGTATGTTATTATGTTATACTTAACTGTAGAATAATTTGCATTTGTATTTATTCACACAATTTTAATAAAAGTTGTTCCCTTAATAACAGTAAAGTTAATCACAAAACAAACAAATTTTAGCAAATTTTATACTTAAGTTATTCTTTTCATTAGATAAATATTAAAAAAAGAAACTAATTTTAAAAAAAAATAATATAAAGATGATGTTCTCAATACAAGTAAAAACATATAAATAAATACAAGCGCAAATAAAATAGTTAATATAAAATAATTTATATCATATCATTTAATGAAAACTCAATCAAAAATTACCTAATGATTCACTTATACAAAGTATCATTAATTACTTTAGCATGCGCCCCGAGCACATCTTCGGCATTACTCAATGGAAATATTTTTTTTTACACATTTGTGTTTTCAGTACAGGTATTTTGCGCCTTACTTACCTTAGGTCAAGTTGTGAGCAATTTTTACCGTTAAGCGCTGCTGTTGTCGCTGCCAGCGTCGCCGTCGGCGTCGTCTGCTGCTGTAGACGCTGTGGCTGACGAGTCACAAGGCCCAACACTCCGCTCAGTGATCGCTTGGCGTTTGTTGTGTTCAGTTCGTTTGTAAATCCGGTAAAAAAGCAATCAAGTATTTTTTAAATCTGCAAAGAGATCCCAAAAAATAAAAGCAAATATATAAATCAAATTCGTGTACTTAATTATAATAAATTATGCATACGGGCTCATTTAATTTTAATAATTGAGCAGCTGGAAATGTTTGAGGGACAGACGCGAGCAAAAAACATGATAAATTGCTTGGCATATGATTAAGGCCAGTTATAGAGCTGCGGTTTAAGCCCAAATTGGCAACGAGCAAGTGACGTGTTTAACGTGACGCTAACTGACAGCCAAATCTGGCTTATTAAAAACAAAGTAAATACATACAAATTTTTACACAATGTTTTATAAATATTTGCAGAGTGAGCTAGCGAAATTGGGCGCCACTAACGACAGTTGGTTTTGCGAATAGTTGCTTGGGGTCTAATCAAAAAGCAAACAAATATAGGAAACACAATTGCAGTCGCGTGCAAACAAAATAAATAAAAAGCAAAAATAAATAAAACAAAAACAAAAACAGATAAACAAAACAGTTAACTGTGTTCCAAACGTTGCCAACTGTTAAAACATTTAAGAACTTGTTCTAAAACAGGCCAGAATAAACATATGTATTTTTTTATGGGTCAAGGTTCGAGAATGCCGACTGTCTGGCTTTTATGAAACCTCAAATTATTTGCAGAACAATGTCTATTAAATTCTTCTTCATTTTTTTTTATATGAGCCACGCCGCTGAGCAATAATAAACGTTGTCTCGCATTGTCTGGGTTAACTAAAAGTTTATTGTACTGTTTACTTTTATTTCCCTATACTCATTTAGAAATCAAGCCTTATCTTTTTCGGGCTTTATCTGCTGCCAAATGTGTTTAGCCTAACCCACGACAATATCAAATTCATAGCCAGTCAAACGTGTGCAAAGCTTTATCTACAGGTATAACAATGAAGCATTTCTGATGCAAGCAATAGCAAATAATTGATAACATTTATAACAAACTTTAAAAAATGTATTTAAACACACATCACATTTTAAAAAATAAGAGCTTGAAAAAAAAACAAACAAACGTGCTTCTGGTTTGTCAATTCTTCTGACACACTTAAAGGTAGATTTCGACCTGTAATTACATGTTTTACGTACCACGTAACGCTGACATTTTGCAGCGAGGGCAACGGCTTTGTGCACCTTCACTTTCCATTAACTGCGAGAACAACAATGGAGCAACTGCAACTGCAACAATAACAACAACAACAACAACAGCCAAAAGCAACAACCAAAAGCAACTTTGACGTCGGCGCAGCTGCAACGCGTCGCGCCTTGCGCATGCGCAAATGCAATGCTGAGGCAATAACAAAAACAACAATAACAATGACACAAAGGCAAATGAAAAATTCAATAATAAACAAACAAGAAAAGTATTTAGATTAAACGAAGCGCTAATACACTTACCTACGATTTCATATAAACTTCATTATATATTTATATATCTATGTATAAAACTGTTTGTCATAACTGACTGACTGACTGACTGATTGACAGACTTACAGACAGACTTAGACTGACAGAATGACTTACTGACTGACTGACTGACTGACTGTTTGACTGACTGATTGGCTGACTTACAGACTGACATACTTAAAGACTGACAGAATGACTTACTCACTGAGTGATTAACTGACTGACGGACTGATTGACGCACAATGCACAGCCCAAGAGCTAGGAACCTAAAATTTTCACTGTAGTTATCTCATGTGTTGAAGGAAAATGTGTAAAAAATACGAAAAACGTTTTTATGAAACCCTTTTTTCCACCATCTGATTTCAAAGATCCTTGTTCAAATTTATTTGAGAGGTGCTGCACACTTTTAAATAAATGCATTTTCATTTAAGATAGTACGCGGAACTTTAAATTTTTCTCGTGCAATGAAAAACTGCGATCTAAATTTTTAAGCACAAAACTTGTCATACGCAAGGTCGAGGAATATCCGCTTGTATATATCAATTTTTTATAAATATTATCTTTTTATGTCTAACCGGTTTTGAGCCGAGGTGGTTTCAGGCATGAATTCTATTTTTTGATTTTCCATAAGTCAAACACTAGACCGGAAGGCTTTGGTTCGAGCATTGGGACGACAATGTGTTTGGGAATCGTAGCCTTTATTATTTCCCAGTCAAGCCATTTGAACCACAAAGAAATTAAGAACGGTGACAGATGCAAGTTAACTTTTCTTTATTAGGCCACATTTCTTATAATAATTAACGAGCGTTGTGTCTTAAAAGAAATTCCGCGGAACTGGGAAAGGCACAAAAACAATACGTATTTTTCCACGTTTAATAGAGCTATATTAAGAAACAACAAAAATATCTTGTTTTGCGAGCAAATAATCATGTAACGACTATTGATACGCTTCTGAGAATTTGTAGTATTTTACTATGATAAAGTGGATGCCGAAATTGGTCTTATCAACAAATAAGAGTTAATTGACTTGGCGTGCGGTTTTGATTAAAAAATGATTAAAAATATAAATATATACTTGAAAACACGAATACTGCAAACGATTAAAAGGATGTTGACAAAAATTAAATTAATTTAAATTATTTATTATTTCATTACGTATATTACGATGTAACAACATTTGCACGACAAGGCCCAACAAAAATGCATATTGGGAAAAATTGTAATTCTACATTTTAGCGAATTTTTTCTTTTCGTAAGTTAATAAACAGGACTTCTAAGATCAAAGTTTTGGCTTAACATTTGCTGTCAGCCTTATTGATAAATATAGTAGCAAAATTATATTAAGATAATTCGTTAGATTAAAAAGCATGACAACTGATATAGGTGCACATTGTTAAGCGTAAAAGAACACATGAAAGTTGTAGCTGTTTTACGTTAAGAAAACAATGCTAAATGTAGTGAAACTAAAAACTTAAAATATTATATTTAAACGTATCTGAAATATGATATTCCACACCTTGCAAAACTGTGTCTAATCGTAGCCGCACTGAAATTGAATCCCAACTTCTACTGAATGACATTCATAAGATACTCGTGGATATCACTTTGAAAACAAAGTGAAATGTAAACAAAGAGCAAATCGAAGCTAGGTGAAACAGAAAAATGCAAATGCTAGACGAGTCGAGACATTGTCAAGAAACTTGTTTGAGCCCTAAAAACTGGTAACTGGCAACAAAGTGGCCAGAACTGCAATTGTATGGGTGTGCTGTAATTTTTTCTTTTGTTTTTTTTTTTTTTGTGAATGAATGCCACAAATAGTTATATAATCGACGCTTCAGTCAGTGGGTCACTGACTTTGGTGGATTTGTAACCTGTTTCTCCGCCCGCCCCGCCACGCCCGCTGTAGGCAGCGGTTTTTAATTAGTATTCAACCACAAAACTTGACCATAAGAGTTAACCTTCAGTTGCGGCGTTTTTTGATTGACTTTGCAGCTGCAACACAGTAACAACAACAACAACTAGTAAAATGGAGCAGAGCAGCAACAACAATGGCTACCTCAATCCCGCCTTTGTGGGCTCACCGAATGCCTCCACCATATCCATTCCGGGCGCCTATAAAACCCAAAGCGAGGGTGGCGCCACGCCCACGCCCAAAGAACTTTCCACTGAGAGCAAAGCGAGCGAAGCGCAGGAGCCAAACGCTAGCCCGGATGTGGAGCAGGGCAAGCAACGGGATGGCTGGAATAATGATATAGAGTTTCTTATGTCCTGCATTGCGCTCAGCGTGGGCCTGGGCAATGTTTGGCGTTTTCCCTTCATTGCGCTGGAAAATGGCGGCGGTGCATTCCTGATACCCTACCTCATTGTACTCTTATTGGTAGGCAAGCCGGTTTACTATTTGGAAATGTTGATGGGACAGTTTTCGAGTCGCGGCAGCGTCAAGGTCTATGACTTTGTGCCCATTATGAGAGGTGAGTGTGCGAGTGAGCGATTGTGCTGGTGTGTGTAATAATATCTTCCATTTGCAATACAGGCATCGGCTATGGTCAGGTGCTGGCCACGGGTATTGTGACCACATACTATGCCACCTTAATGGCGCTCACGCTGCGCTATTTTGTGGAATCATTTTATCCCACTCTACCCTGGAGCTATTGCCGCGAGGAATGGGGCTCAAGCTGTTTGGATTCGGCACCGCATCAGGAGAGCGTAGTGAACGGTAATCAGTCAACGGTGCGCACCACCTCGGCGGAGTTTTATTTTACGTAAGTAAATCGCATTTTTCGTTTTCAATCAAATCCATCATCCTTGGCAACTCCATCAGCAACATTATTCTGCGTGAAAAGGCGAGCATCGATGATGGCATTGGCTATCCCAGCTGGAGTCTGTCCTTGACTTTGGCCTTCGCTTGGCTCATTATCGCGGGCATTATGTTCCGTGGCGTTAAGAGCTCTGGCAAGGCTTCATATTTTCTCGCTCTGTTCCCCTACCTGGTCATGCTGATATTGCTGGTGCGCGCCCTGACTCTGCCGGGTGCTTCGGATGGTGTCCTTTACTTTCTGAAACCACAATGGCACAAGCTGCTGGAGCCGCAGGTGTGGTATGCAGCTGTTACCCAGGTCTTCTTCTCGCTGGCCATATGCTTTGGCAATATTATCATGTACGCCTCCTACAATCGTTTTGGCCAGAATATATACAGGTAAGTACCCTTTAGTTGGTTTCGGCTTAACGATTTTTTAACTTAACTAACATTCCATGTACCTTTAAATGTTAGACTGGCTTGGCTTAAAATAACAAAAAAAATATGACCTAAAATTTCTTTAATCCAAATTTGATTACTTATTATCTAACTAAAACTATAATCCTCACTTATCTCGCTTAAAATAAATAAAATCATTTTAAACTCATTTTCCATTTTCGTTTTCTTGCTCAATTAAATAATTCTCTAGATTTTCTCTCTCTCTCTCAATTCCTGTCTCTTACTCACTCTCTCTTTCGACTTTCTCTGTCCCTGTTTAAAAATTCATTCATTATTTAAAATGTATACTATTTTTTTAGTTATGTTTAATATTCTCTTAAGAAGGACCCAGCTTATTTCAAGTCCAAAATGGTTTACCTTGATTAATAATTTTTCAATCCAATTATGTATTTTGTGTATTTTGCAGAGATGCCAACATTGTAACCACCTTGGACACATTCACCTCGCTGCTCTCTGGCATCATAATCTTCGGCATACTGGGCAATCTGGCGTATGAGAATAACACAACGGACATATCAAGTGTAGTCAATGGCGGACCGGGGTTGGCTTTTATATCGTATCCGGATGCAATTGCAAAGTTTAAAGTGCTGCCGCAGGTATTCTCGGTGCTCTTCTTTCTCATGCTCTTTGTGCTTGGGATTGGCAGCAATGTGGGCATGGTCTCCTGCCTGACCACCGTGTTGAAGGATCAGTTTACCCAGATAAAACAGTGGCATATCGTCGTGTTTATATCAATTGTTGGATATCTGCTGGGTCTCTTGTATATAACACCCGGCGGCCAGTTTGTGCTGAACCTGTTGGACTTCTTTGGCGCCACATTTGTGGCCTTAGTTTTGGCCATCTTTGAGCTGGTGGCCATTGGCTGGGTCTATGGCGTGAAGCGCGTCTGTCGCGATGCGGAATTTATGCTGGGCATAAAGACATCCATCTACTATCGCATCTGTTGGGCTGTGATAACGCCGCTGCTGATGTTCGCCATACTGGTCTACATGCTGGCGCTGTATGAACCGCTTAAGTACAAGGACTACACCTATCAGTCTGGCGTTTATGGTAAGCTGCAACCTAATCCCAATTGTGGACTGAACTAATTTAATTTTCCAACGCAGTCTTTGGCTGGTGTCTGAGCGCCTTTGGCGTGGGCCAGCTGCTCTTTTGGGCGGTGCCTGCGGTGAGACGTCAGCCCGCCGAGCTGGGTCTGTGGCAGCGCATACGCAAAGCCTTTGAGCCGCTGCCCAACTGGGGACCCGCTGACCCCAACACGCTTAAGCGCTATCAGCTCTATGTGGAGCAGGCGAATGTAAGCGCCATGTTCCAACGCAGCGGTATCTGGCACAAAATCTATGACAATATCTTTGGCTAGCAATAAAAATCTGTAGCCTGTAATGCTGGGGGAGTTACTCGTTTTATGTGTGGCAACCCTAACTACTATACGTTATGCTATGTACAGCGCAACCCTTTTATAATAAAAATCCTGGCTTAAGTGCCAAATATAGTCGCTGCGCCAGTTGGCCTCAAGCGAACCCGTTAAAACAGTGAAATCAGCCAGAGATGGGCGCGTGAGAAATGGAGAAATGGACAACGTAGCAGAGAACCCATAAAATGTAACGAATTTATTGTAAAACTTTAGCTAAATAAATAATAAGTTTACTCTATTTTAAATTAAAAAGCTCTTCTTTTAGGGGAATTCCAAATGGGATCAATGGGAACACAAACCGACTCACTGTATAAAAGGTAGACAAGTCTTTGCGCTCTCTTTATGCTTATAATTCTCGACTAGGAAATGCGTCATCAATATCATGACGTTGTTAATATGCATTCCCTTTGCAACATATTCCCTTCTCTTTTCATGATTATATCTTATAATTCACAACTGTTTTAAAACAACTAATGAAAACTTTCTTTATAATTATTATTTAAAGGTACTCCAAAGCAACTTAAAGTTGATATCTAAAGCATTCTTTATGCTTCAGATTCCCAACAAATTCTTGATATCTGAGCGATTCATATAGGACTTCAATAGAGAACGCTTTTCTACATGAGCTGCCTGCTCATGCAGCCCTTAACAAAAAGTTTTTTCTCACCTTCAAATCTTTTCAACTCTCGTGACTTTCGTGTTTGCTCACGCGCTCAGCTTCAGAGCCAAAGCAAACAGGCACAACTATAAAAGACAAGACAATTGCAGCCAGCGGCGCTTAACGCACGCATACCCCCACACACACACACATACACATACACATCCCCATATAAGCACAAACACACATGCACTGATTATGCCGTAAAGGGTAAAAAGTTCTGATTTTATGATTGAGGCAAAAAGTTGCAAGTAGAAAAGTGTCGTGTGCACACACGCATGTTTGTGTGTGTATAAGTGTGCGTGTGTGTGTGCTGTAAAACACTTCCACTTCCGTTTCCGTGTAACAGCAGGCGCAAAGTATTCAAGTAATTTGTAAGTTAAAAGACAGCACCTACCCCTCCCTTCCTCCTCCCGCCAACAGTCGACCGCCTGCTGGCAGATAAGCATAAATGGAGCTTTGTTGTTCTGTTTGTTGTTATTGTTGTTCTTGCTGACAGCGAAATGACAAACGAGGCGCCTATAAGCATGCAATATAAAAACGCACCACTCCCAAAAAAAAAACCTAAAAAATATATAAAAAAAATTTATAAATAACAAATAGCAGAGTAATAAATCACGAGACTTGCAAGTTAAAAACACACGCATCTGAGAATCTGCTTTCATTGGCCAAACATATCGGCAGCTTGACAGGCACACAGACAAACAGTACGAATAAAGGTGAATCTGGAGCAGAAGGACAAGTGTTTCTTTTTTTGTTGGTATACCCCGTAGTCATTAGTGGAAGAAGTGTGTTTTGAACTGCGATCAGCTAGCTAACATTCTCAAGCAACACAAGAGTTTAACTTATCAAATATAATTTTCTCAGTGCCTGGGATATCCAGCTGTACAGACCACGAAATTTTATACTTATCTTAATTCCAGACAGACACGCATTTGTATGATCTTACTGCTAAATTCCACACTGTAAATTACCTCAATTTCAATGTAAGATTAGCTGAAACATAACTGAACTGAAAGTAAAAAACTGAGATAATGTATTACTCTTTAAGGAAGCTCAAAAAAAAAGAAATATTGTATTTAATTACAATAACTAATTATAAAAAAAAATAAATAAAAATTCAACACAACATCCTAATTTTACAATATACGCACGTAGAAAATTGAAGTACACGTTCAGTATTCCAATATTTACCTACAGGGTATATCCTCGTACGTCCTTTTAAGCTTACACCATTCCAACATTTTTAAAATTACTTTTTTCGTCGTTTGCCTTGCATACGTTTCCCTTGGCTTTCAACTATTTGGCTGTCAAATTAATGTGGCTGTCAACCGTTGACGGCCAAGTTGAGTGTATTTGTCAGCAGCTTGTATGTTCGTCCGTCCACGTAATTGCACTGATAAAATGCGTTTAAAAGTGGATAAAACGGTGCTCACATACGCTGACATGATCACACGGCGTATGCGCCATATGTGAATTTAACGATAAATATATCACACACTATATTCACTATGCATGTGTGTGTGTGTGTGTGTTTATTGCTGGCAAAGCTGAAGTGAATGCATTTCGAGTTATTTGTCAAGCCATTGTGTCTTGTTAATGAGTTTTTAATGGGCAAATGTTGAAAACACAACTCTTTGTGCATTTTATTCAAGTGGACGCTTGAGAACGCCAACCCAACCCCCATCCCGCCATTGGCCTCTCTCGCCAGTGTGCGCTTAATTTCATTGTTATTCAGTATAAATCAAACATAATGCGATATTATGACCGCGTCCACGCCGCGTATACTTAATTAAAATATATATTAAATACCCAATCACGGAAACACACGCAACCATTATCGAATCAAAGCGAATGCAATTTGCACTCATATGAATGTTTTAATTCGTATATATTCATTGGCGATTTGGCTGCCGCCACAGAAGGTATTACCTTTAATTCAGACGGTAATCATGAATTTACGATATGTTCGTTTCATTTTAATTACCCATACGCAATTCGGGAATTTATGCTTTTGATAAATATTTGCTGCTGCTCCAGAAAAATAATTTATTAAAAATAACATTTTAGGTGGTTTTTTTGTGAAATCGATTTAAATGATGAAAATAAATACGACATTGAAATTTCAACATTCATAACACACATAAATTTTTACAAATTGAGATTAATTAAAATGGAGGTTTTTTTAATTGCGGAATTTTGATGTCTTCATTTTGAATGTCAAAAAGTTTGCATTGAGAAGGGATTGTGTTTTCTTTCTTAACTTTCCCTAGATATTAGAACACGGCATTCTCTTCTAATAGGTTTCTGGTCTTTTTCTTTAAATTCTGTAAAGGGTCTAATACTTTTTAAACAGGCTGCCAAGTGGCCGCGTCAAAATATGTGTTTATCAATCTTCAATGAGGTTCATTAGAAGTCTAAGCGCCTTGGTTAATAACTTAAAATCTTAAGCTGATCCATATGTCAATTATGCAATTCTCCCCAGAAATTACCTGAATTCTGGATTTCTATATTTTCACCCGCATTAAACAATCTGCATATATATTTGCTTACCTCAATCTACTTGTTAATTTGCTAACTTTTCTTAATAGTTTCTCCCCACCTAGCCAATTGGCAGCTGTTCAGCCCCACTGTGAGCATTTTATTTTTCATAACTCACCTAGTAAGGAAAAGAAAGAAAGAACACACAAGAGATGCCCTTAAAGGGCAGTTCTCTATCACAACTTCTTCTAACTTAATAACTTATCAAATCTAATATTATACGGTTCGTTTAAGCCTGCTGTCGAATTCCGCTTAAGACAAATAAAGGCAAGATTATGATTTACGTGATGTCTGAGCATTATTGAATCCCAGATTTATGGCCATGAAATAATAGCTTAAAATCATAGCGAGCTGTTTATGGCCTAGAAAACCAGTGTAGTGCAAGAGAGTCGGCCACAAAAACACAAAAGAACAACAGCCACATCCTGTGGCAAGCCAAATAAATCAGTCGCCAGGCATTGGCAACGGCAAGCGGCGCGTCGGCAAACAGCAAAACGGTAAATGACAGGACAGGTACGCACCGTTACCTTTCACGCACATTTCCCCAAAGTAATCAACACAGTCGCCGCAAACAAAAAGCAAGCAACACGGCCAAAACGCAGTCGTCGGATGTGCGCCATTTGGTCATGTGGTGGCTGCCAGCGGAAGGCAGCCAAAATTCAGTTGGCCAACAAAATGGGCCAACTTTAATGGGCGACCGTCGAGTGTTTGGGTGTATGTAAGCCAGTGTGTGTGTGTGTGTGTGTTTGTGTGGGGTCGCCATGCCTGCTACTTAGGCACACATTAACTTTTGGCCTTTTGAAGAGTGAAACGCTTTGTCCGCCCTGGGCCTGCGCCTGCTGCTCAATTGTTATCTTAAGACTAGACGCAGCTGCCATTACTTCACATTGTTTGTCTTCTTTTGAAGGGAAGTTTTTAAATTATTTAAATAAATTAGCGCGCATTTTTTTTTTGTGCTCTCCGAACAGATTGCAGGTGATTTAATTTGAATAGCATTTAGCTGTATGTCTTTTTTCTCGCTGCCAAAATGACAGGCGTGGGATGCATTCCTGAAGGCTAACCGAAAACACACCCAAAAAAAACGCATTGTTGTAAAAATTTACTGGCCAAGTTTATAGGCCACAACTGTGTACCCAGCCGGGCTGGCTATAGTCGTATAAAACAGCCAGACGGCTTTTAGATTACTTCAAACAATTGCCACAAAAGTGCCATAAACGTGTTCATAAGACATTTTACAATTTAATGCTAATAGCAATTGTTGAAATTTGCATTTCATTCACGCCTAGGCAATTGCTAAGAAATTGTTGAAAAAAAAAATTAATTATTAAATAATTAGTCTTAATTGCTAGGGTCTTAATTGCAAGAAAGGAATTAAGAACAAATTCAAATATTTATACTGCTTTAATTTCAACTTTAAAATACACAAAAACCTTCAACCTTTTTTTAGCGAACTAGGATCTATCTACATAAATTTATAGATTTGTGATTAATATGTTAAGATTCTTTTATATTAAAATATTTATATATTCATTTACTTTTGTATCCCATATATTTCTTCAAGGAAAATTGTTTTACAAATGCAGCAATAAATATATCATAAAAATATAATAATAAAAATATATAGATCGATGAACGAATTTTAAATTTAAAATATTTTGAGTAAATTGTAAACTAAGTTTGAAAATATAATTTCAACCAAAAATATTGAAAACATTCGAATTTCATGCAGCTTTCAATTTCGAATATGTAAAGTAAGCTATAATTGAATGTTTAATATGAAAGTTCAAGCCAGAAAACAATTTTATTTATTCGGTAACGTTTTAAGTTTTCATGCAAATGAGCAATGAAATTAAATTAATTAAATGAGATACAAAGGTTGGGCAGCGCACATTTAACACGCTTGAATGAAGCAGCCAAGTTAAGACGGGAAACAAGACCAAAATGCCAGACATAACAGACATTGCAGACATTCGGAAGACATTTCATCAAACGTTGCCTGGGCAAAGCGAAAAAAAAAAATG